GAAGTGAACAGAAACACAGATGCTGTGTCAATGCAGGAGAATTCCCTTCCCCCACATGTGTGAGTGGTATCCCCCTGTATTGTCCCTTTTGTAGAAACATTTTATGTTTAATCAACCTCCTTCTGCCCACATGCCCGAGAAATGCAATTCGTTTTCTGTTAGGGGAAATTGGCCTCTGAGTGATTTCATTATATTTATCCATTCTCACCCTGGTTGGACATGCATCAGCAGGGGCTCAGCAAAGACGAGTAACAGACTGGTCACTGTGAGGAGAGAGAAGCAATGTATCTCCAGGACGCATGGCTTGCTCTTTCTACTGCCCTCTCTAAAGGGGTGCTGTTGAGCAGCCAGCATCTACAGGTGCACAGCCCAGAGACCTCAGGACACAAAAGTAGTGAGAGAAGGAGAAGTAGGCAATGGAAACTATCAAAGCAGGACAAGAGTCAGAAGGCCAGCAACTAAGATGAATAATCTTCAGTAAGTCTCTCCAACTCACTGGCACTGTGGCATTTTCTGCCTAAGCTTTCTCAGTACCAAGTTAAAATGTGAAAATAGATAAATGTTCCAGGAAATGAATTTCAATATTACAAAATATATACTCACACCCAAACATTGCATGGTATTTAAATACATACAAATCTTCATGTCTCAGTTTAAAATCATTGAGTAAAAGAAAATAATTAGTGGAAATAACCACAGAAATTTATAAAAAAATGGTTTATAAATTCTGTTACATATTATCTATCAAAGATAAAAACTTGGATGTGTGAGGACTATCTATCTGACTGTGACATCCAGCACCACAGTCGCCAGATGTGATTAGGCTTATGTGTCTGGTTGAGAAGGCGTTTCTTTCTTCTTTACTGTTGTATGATGTTTGTGTTCTGACAAATAAAGCTTACCTAGGGATCGGAGGGCAGAGTTAGCTACTAGTTAACCATAGATGCCAGACACTGGTGGCAAGCACACACCTTTATTTTTTTATTAAATTTATTTTTTATTACTTTATAAATAATACCAATCAAAATTTCCACTTCCTCCCCTCCTCCCACTTCCTACCTGCTCCCCACACACCCTCTCCCTCCCTCCAGTCTGGAGAGGGTGCCTGAGTGGCGGAGAGGGTGCCTGAACTGCCCTTGTCCCGAAGTCAGACTGATGACTATCTTGAATATCACCATAGAACCTTCATCTGGTGATGGATGAGGATAGAGACAGAGACCCACATTTAGACCACTGGACTAAGCTCGCAAAGTTCTGTTAAAGAGCAGAAGGAGAGAGAATATGAGCAAGGAAGTCAGGACCACGAGGGGTTGGTGTACCCACTGAGACAGTGTGTCTGAGCTAATGGGAGCTCACCAACTACAGCTGGACTGGGACTGAACAAGCATAGTATCATACTGGACCCTCTGAATGTTGTTGACAATTGGGGCAGACTGAGGGGCCAATGATAATGGCACTGGGATTTGTCTCTACTGCATTTACTGGCTTTTTGGGATCCTTTTCTCTTTGGATGCATACCTTCCTAAATCTGTATGTAGTGGGGAGGGCCTTGAACTTCCCACAGGGCAGGGTACCTTGCCCTGTCTTAGGCACACACTCTTAATCCCAGCACTTGAGAGGAAACAGGAAGATCAGGAATTCAAGGCTACTCTTGGCTACACAAGATTGAACCATTCTAAAAGAGAAACAGCCAGCAGTGGTGGCTCATACCTTTGATCCCAGTACTTGGGATCTCATGCCTTTTATCCCAGTATTTGGAAGGCACACACCTTTAATCCCAGCACTAGGGAGGTGGAGACAGGAATAAAATGTGGGTGGAGACAGGATCTCAGGCCCATTCAGTCTGAAGATTGCCAGAGACAGGATTGCACTATTAAGTCTGAGGATTCATAGAGACAGAATCGCCCATATTTGTTCTGAGATTTTGTCTCTGCTTCTCTGATAGTTCAACTTTCACCCCCTAATATCTGACTCTGGGTTTTTATTTAATAAGACTAACTAAATTCATGCTTCAGTTCACTGTTCCTGTGTATCCCTCCTGAAGCTTCAAAATAGGTTAAAAAAGGATGGCCTTCCCAAATAGAACAGGACCCATCTTGTGTCAAAGGTAAATGAGTAATGCTAGAACCCCCAAACAAGCTCTCAAAGATTTAAAACTTCCTGTGATATCTTTTTTTTTTGGCCCACAGCACTACAATTTAGGGGTTACATAGTGAAGGGATTGGAGGTGATGAGCAGGGTTTAAACCCATCTCCCTTAGATTCTGGCTGTGAATGAAATCTCAGGCAAGTAACTCAAATTTATATGTAAGTTCTCCGTTTCTTATCTACAAAAATGCTCATGATGTTATTTACGATCAGGTTTGTTCTATAGACAACAAAATTTAACCCCTGTAGGTCAGAAAAGCCCTTGTTCAATGTGAACACTCCACAAATCATGAAGGGTGCAGAGTCCTTTGCCTCACATGGTACCTGTCTTCACCTCCTAATCTGATCCCTCTGCTTCCCTCCCCTTTCTTCCCCTCTCCTCAGTAGACTCTCTCTCCACACTGTCAGGTACAATAATGAAATTTAGAGCAGACATTGTTTTCTATATTGTCCATCTAACAGGACAAACAGAGGAAATAGAGAAATCTGGAAGGAAATTGGAAAGCAGAAGGGGAAAAATATTGAGTGCAATATTTTCTGAGTCGCCAGGCCTGTACTAGAAATAATCCTTGCTATGATTTTGAACACCTACTGTGTAAACATTATTTGACATATATTAATGTACATGGCTTCATTAAATCCTCAGAAAGCTTCTGCAATATTATTGTTCTAGGTTTTCAGAGGAGGAAAAGGCTCTAAGTTATGACTCCAAGCTAAAATTATACTACATGGTGTAAGGAGCTGGGGTCACTTCATTAAAGTTAGGAAGGTATTTGAGAAACGGAGAGGGTAAGGAGAGGGATAATGAAGGGAGGGGAAATGGAAGTTGTTTGGGAGGGAGGGAGAGATGGAGGGAGGGAAGGGAGTGAGGGTGGGAGGGAAGGAAATGTGGGAAGGAAGGGAGGGAGGGAAAGGAGTGAGGGAGGGGGAAGAAGAAGAAAAGGGAGGACAGAGGGAGGGGGGAAAGAATGGGCATAACCACCAAGAACCTATAACCTTCAACTGAATACCATCTTCCAAGTTTCTACCACCTCCTAATAGTCTGTCAAACCTTAACCCTTTAAAGGGTTAACCCATGATGAGATCAGAGACATTGCAACCAACCCATTCCCATGATCTTCATCTTAACCACTGCTATGCTGGAGACACGTGAAACTTTTGGGGGGATATTTTACTTTCCAAAGATAATAACCACTAAAAATAATAATAAAAATTCCCTACAAAAAGAGGGGGAGTAGAAACTTTTTCTTAAAAAGTTATATTTATGAAAACTGTGTATGTTTTATCTGTTAAAACATAGAAAATGGTGTCATTATTTGGAAATCATTAAAAAGTAACAAAGAATTAAACTTTCTGAGGCCATTCTCCAAAGAAATTAAATAATAGGATGATACAATACCCTTCAACGCTCAGCTATAAAGATGATTATTGCTGTGAAAATCCTCAAGATTTCAATTTTCCCACAGGCTTCCCTGCACCCTTTGATATTCATATCATCAAATTATTCCCTTTTGAAGCTTATGGTGTCATCATTCTCGCTGATTTTTCTCTTCTTCAATTATTCATCAGTCTAACACTGTCGGAACCTCATTTGTCAATTACTCTGCATGTGATTAGAAAGGTTCTCCATCTTTCATCTTGGCAAAATTCTGCATCTTTTGCAAGATGTGCACAGTTTTCTCTTGCAATCAAATCACAACGTGTTCGAACTGTGCTGTCAGGTGTTTGAGAGTGAGCCAGCAAATAACCATCATGGATGCAGAGAAGTGTATTAAGTGGCATGTCTTGGGATAGGGATAAATTTTAAGAGCACTGGGGCAATGGAGAGAATGCTTAGCTGGGAAGGTTCTTGACACACAAACATGAAGGCCTGAGATCAGATCCCCAGCATTCATGCTTCCCAAAAATGAGCCAGGCATGGTGGCACACTTATAAGCTTAGTACTGGTGAGGACAAGAAAGATGGATATGTTTACTTGCTACCTAGAAAGTCTAGCCAAAGAGTCAGGCTCTGGGTTCAATGACAGACCAGGTTAGCCTTGAACTTACAACTCTCCTGACTCAGCTTTCTAGATATTGAAATTATAGGTATAGGACACCATATCCAGCTATCTAAAGACTCTTGATCATCCTCTCTGTTTATTTGGCCCCATGGAACTCAGACACCAACCCAGATATAGATACAATATTCCCTGAACCTCCAGGGAAGCAGATAAAAGAAGATAAAATATTTCTTCTCGGCCCTGCTCTGCACTTCAAAGAAATGTTTATGTAATTCATAGATAGCATGTTTGATGTGGAATGTCCTTCTGCATATTGGTTGCTTTTATTGATAGATGAATAAAGCTGTTTTGACCAATGGCTTAGCAGAGTAAAGCCAGGTGGAAAATCTGAAGAAATACATGGAGAGAGTAGGCAGCATCAGGGAGATGTCATGTCGCTGCTGAAGGACAAAGATGACAAACTCTTACTGGTAGGCCACAGCCTTATGGTGATACACAGATTAATAGAAATGGGTTACCTTAAGGTGTAATACCTAGCCAGGAATACACCTAAGCCATTGGCCAAACCAGTTTTATTATTTTTTTTAATTTTATTGCATCACATATCCAGAAGGACATCCCACATCACATATCCACAAGGACATCCCACATCACATGTTTTCACAGTTCTTATCTCCATGAACCCCCCCCCCCCCCCAAACACCACTATGAACAAATGATCGCAGCCATTTTGTAGACTTACAAGTTAAGGTGTGCCAAGATGAAATGACCTGACAGAGACACAGCTCATGAGTCAGTGGTCCCTACAGGACACCTTATGCTGTTACTGTGTTACTCTTACCTGGCACTGTACATGGCAGGGAATCTGTGTGGACAAATGTTGCTCACTGGACTTCTTCAGGAAGGAGGGTCGTCCTTTTGGTTCCTTTGTGTCTAGAAGAGCTGTAAGCCAGGAGGAAGCAGAGGCTACAGTCTTGTTCAGCTCTGCCTCCTTCCATTACCCTTGACTGTTTCATCCTTGATCTCCCTCTGCTCCTTAATAATTAGAGCACAAATGGCAATGAGTCTCTCGTCTTGATATAGGATCCAGCCAATGTAGTCTGGTCTGTCATCTGCAGTTCTGTGCTCAAATCTATGCCTATATTTCGGCTCCTGGTAGGTTTCAGACCTGCTTCTTTCATTCTGATGTGCCTGCCCATCTGGGGACAGTCCTTTGCAGACTCTCAAGCTCCATGGTCTGCTGTGTGTTACCCTATTGCCAGTTCCGCTCTTCTTGTCTGCCTCCCTCTCTCAGTATTTTCTATAGTGCCCTCTTGGGGGGCATTTATACAAATGATGATCATACTTAAATCTAGATTGACTCTTTCTCAAGCTCAATTTTAAGATAGGTTTTCAGTATCCTCAAAAGTCTAGAACTATCGTGGCAATGCATGCCTATCATTTTCCCCACACAAACAATTTTAAATTAACAGATAGTAAAATGGCATCCACTTGAGTGTATGGCTATGCATTTTGATGCATGCATAGAACTGAGCAATCACTGTTGTAATCAATAAACACTTCATTTCTATCTACAGATAGTTCCACCTTCTCCACCCGTAAAATCTAACAGTAAGGGATCTGTTTCATACACTATAGCTTCGTGCTTTCTACACTTTCAGGCCCTGTCAATGGAATCATCACATTCAATTTCTAACCCTGATATCTTGTACTCAAGCTGGTTCTCTCAAGATGCATATATTAGGTCTTAGTCATTCTTTGTACTGCTGAGTATATTCCATTGTACCACTGATCCAGAGTTTGTTTATCCATCCATCTGCTGAAGGACATTTTAGTAGTTTCCGTATGTAGTGATGATGAACAGAGCAACTGAAGGTATTCCCACAGGGATTTGCATATAACCATATGCTTTCATCCCCTGTGAGTATCCAGAAAGGTTTTAGTAGGACATATGGAGGGTAAACATTTAATTCCAAAAGAAAATGTCAAATTATTTTCCCCAGAAAAACAGCTAGTTCATTTTCTGGGGCTCTTGTTTTATACTTGTTCTTTCTGATTTGGTCCTTGGATTTTGAAGACTGATTTCCTAGGACCTTATCAACAGGGTTCCTGTTCTGGGAATTCTGACCAGATTTGACTAAGGAGTCAGTGTCTAAGAGGGAAGGGAAAGGGAGAAAGGCTACTTCCCTTCTCCCCCTGCCCTGAAGGCCATAACTGTTAATCTCTGTGGAACATTCAGTCTTCTGCCTCCAACAGGTGGACCTTGTATCTGCTTTCATTATCCTTGCTCTTCCGATCTGGTCTGTACCTGCTGACCATGAGCAACTACACTGACCCAGATTACTGAGATACTCAGTATCTTAGACACTCTTTCCAAAATTGCTCAGTCTGGAAGATAAGGGACATCCTGTGGCACCAAATGACTTTCTTCCAATGACTAAGGTCATGTGGCTAGAAGTACTAAAGTCGAGCTAGACTAGAACAAAATTCCTTAACTCTTGAATCTATGGTCTTCCTGATGATTCTGGAGTTAGTCTCATTTGTGCTAATACTTCGGACAGAGTTTTACAAACAGTTCAATGTATAATCTGCAAGTATTGTGTTTTAATCAAGTGTAGTCTGGAAGTGATGAAAAATCATTAATACATTGCTTTTTACAATGTTTCCTATATACATTATTTTTTCAATTCAATATATCTTTCTGCAAAATGCTACCAAAGACTCTGAGATCACTTAGCACACAGACATAGAGCTTCACTATTTTCTATACATTAAATTAAAATTAAAAAGTATGTAGGATATATTAATCATTTAAAATAAAAGCCTATCACATGCTAATATAGCCAATTTATATGAAAAAGGGGAAAAAAAAGAAAGAAAAGACCTTAAACATTAGGAAGCTGCCACACTGATGTTGGAAGATTCAAGTACTTCCAAATTTCTGAGCCTGCCTGAATGAATGCTCCCATTTGTCATCCGCCAAAAATGCTGTCTGTTGTTTCTCTTAGAGTGACAAACTTGCCTCATTCATTTTACAGAAAACATCTGCCACATTCCAGAGTCTGAACAATCGTGCTGTGTCTGCCTATTGTTCTTTCAGGTAAAACAGTGCTCAGTGAACAAAAGAGCTACATTGCTGGCAGCTCAAACAAGTGTCAACATGTTGCCCTTTAAGTTGAGCCCCACATTTGCTGTGCCTCCTTTTGTCTGTACGATATAAGTTATAGCAATATACAATGAATAATTTTATAATTGCAGATTGTACAATTTGTTAGTATAATATGTGGCATGAGAACTTAATAAGATTAATTAATCTACCACTTCATCAAAGGCATTCCTAAGAGAAAATGACTTTTCTATTAAGAGTTTGGTGCCTTTACATGAACTGGTACTACAACAACAGCTTTACGCCATTACTTTTGTATCATTGAAACAATATCAATAAAATTAAGCATCTCGGAACCTGTGGCCCTAGTCTGTAATCCTATCTACTCTGGAGGATTAAGCAGAAAGAATTAAAAGCCTACCTGGGCTATAATATGAGTTCAAAACCAGCCTTGGGTAACTTAGTGACATTCTGTCCCAAAATTAAGAATTGAAAAAGCCTAGGACATAGCACAGTAGTATCACAGATACTCTGACATATCATGCATGAAGCCTTAGGTTCAGTTCCAAGTACTACGAGAGAGAGAGAGAGAGAGAGAGAGAGAGAGAGAGAGAGAGA